AGCTATTGTGAAAGGTATTGTTTCTCTTAGTTCTGGCTCTAGGACCTGAGTTTTTGATTGTGTGGTCTTATTCTTCAGCAGTGTTGAGTGATGATTATCAGAGAAGTGGCTTGATTTCATACCACTTCATATTTACTGTGACTTGTGGCTGCAGTTACATTAATTCATAGTTTTAGTTTAACTGGTCTGCATTTCAGGCCTTGTTCAAAGTTATGCTTCTCAACTTGTGCTTTGTCTCTTCATAAGTTAATGCAAGTTAACATGAATGTTATTTTTTGTATAAGTAACACATAGTAATATTTTGAAATATTTTTTCTGTTTCACTATTTTCATGTTGGGTTAAAAACCTTTAAGAGCTCCCAGATTATTTTATAGAAATTTATTCATATTTTACAGGTGTTTTGGTTGTCAAATATCTGAAATATTGGGTTTGGGGACCTAATTAATACTTGTCTGTAACCATGGAGGGTTTTTCCAGTATGATTTATGTTATATTCATTTGTAGCTCAATTTCTTGTCGTCTGTTTTATTTTTCCTTCAGGCATTTGTCCTTCCAGGTTCCTTGCCTGTTGTGACATTTACCAAGTGGTTGTAGATTAGTGTTCTAGTGAGGAAGGTGGGATATTCTTTAGGCAAAGGGTGGTGAGAACAGATAGAAGAACAGTTACCCTCTCCCCCATCTTACTACCCTTCTCTGTTTTTGAAGGATTTGTCACAGCAAAGGAGAGCCTGCTGTGTTAGTGTCTCCACATCAGAAATAGGATGCTGCACAGTGAGAAACTTAATAAATGGCCTGCTTGATAACTTAACATTCTAATTTTATTTCGCTGCTGTTGTCAGTGAGTAAGCCTCAGTTCCCTCTCCCCATTTGCCCTTACTAGTCATCAATCAGGTCCTGCTTTCTGTGTCCTCTTGGGCTCCCACACGGTAGCCTTTAATGCTGCTTCCTGGTGTAACAGGAGGTAGAAGAAACATCAGTCTGAACATGACTGATTTCCTTCTCTCCTGGCCCCCCACAATTGAGAGGAAGTCAGACTGGACAAGAGGCTGATTTGTACTAAGGATCGAAAACAGGCTCCTTCACAGTGTCCAGCCTATTGAATCGAAGGAATCTGCTGTGTGTCACATTTGCAAACCCAAGGCAAGCCTTGTTGTTGGGAGTGACCTATCCGTTTTGCAGACTTCTCTGTGGCATTCAGTTGGTATTTCCTTCCTTTAAGGTGTTCATTTAGGTTCTGATGATCTATGCTTAACTAAGGGATGTTGAGGTGCGCTGTGATCTGCTGTGTGGGTTCATGAAAACTTGCTATTTTGAGGATATTTGAGTGTGCTTTGCATACTTGACTCAATTTGGTTTTTGACGAGAAAAGCAGTTGTAGGTGAAATAATTACTTATATAATAATTTTGTTCAGTCTTGAAGTTGAGCCACAACAATTTTGTTAATGTTGATAGGTGCCATCGAGTCCACTACAGTTTATAGTAGTTCAATTTATATAGTAGTTCTGCACCCTGCCCTGTCCTGAGCCAGTCTCACTGTCTCCAACACACCTCCTCCCATTACTGTGTCAGTCCATCTCCTCCAGGGTCTTCCTCTCCTGTGCTGTCCCTCCACCCTTCCAATCATGATGTCTTTCTCCAGGACAGACTTGTTTGTTCTCTTGGCAGTCTATGGCATGTTCAGTACTCTTCTCACACAACTCAAAGGCATCAGTTCTTCCTCTGTCCTCCTTAGTCATTGTCCAGCTCTCTGATGCATAACAAGTAATTGTGAAGACAATAATCTGGATCAAGTGCACCTTAGTCTCTAGACTGACATTATTGCTCTTCAGTACTCTGGAGAGGTCTCTGACAGCAGATTATTCCAATGCAGTTCATCTTTTGATTTCTTGACTGCTGGTGCCAAGATGTGGAACTAAGCAAGCTGAAGTTGTTAACAGTCTCAATCTTTTCATTGATCATGATGCTGCCAGTTGGTTCAGTGGTGAGAATCTTCATTTTCTTGATACTGTGCTTCAGTCCTTTTGCAGATTATAGTCCTTAACCCTCTGTAGCATATGTTTTAGGTCTTCTTCAGTTTCAGCAAGCAAGGCTGTGTCATATATATAACGCAAGTTGTTGTTGAGTCTTCCTGATGCCACATTCCTCCTTGTAAAGTCCAGCCTCCCAAATTAATCTGTTCTTCATATAGATTGAAAAGAAAAGATAGCAGGAAGCATCCTTGACACACTCCTTTCCTCATTTTGAACCATGCAGTGTTTCCTTGCTCTGTCCTGAGAACTACCTCCTGGGCCAAGTATAGGTTTTGCATGAGCACAATCAAGTGTTCTAGGATTCCCATTCTCAAGGTTAGGCACAATGTGTTGTGATCCTTTAGTTAATTTGGCGGGTTGATGGGGACACCAGTAAAACACAAAATGTATCATCTGGTTTCAATTTGTTTAGTTAAATTACCTTAGTTTGGTTAAACATTGTTAAATCTAGTGAGAATTGTTTCCAACTCCAAAAGAAATTAAAAAAAAATGGAGAGGAGGAGGATTTTACCACTGAAAGCTGTGTGAGCCGTGACTTGATGGCACTGCCTTATTTTTCTGGGTCTTACAAGTTGTTGACTTGAGCAAGGTGCAGTCTTACCTACCGCTCTTCTATTGCTTGTTTTAATGAAAATAAGTGAGTTTCCCTCATCTGACAGTTTGCTGCCTTACACAGCTTTCAACCTTCCCTAATTTTACAGTATTGTAGAAATGAAAGTTAAACAACACACTCAAAATTTTTGTCAAAAACTAATTCATGGTAAAAATAGTTTAGGCAGCTTGCAAGAGTGAAACAAGATTTCTCATTCACCGTAGTCCAATCTTATTGAAATTTTTTTTTAAATGCATTTTTTTTATTTTAATTGTGATTTTAATGAAAGTTTACAGAAAAGTTAGATTCTTACTTTCTTTTCCCCCCTTCCCCAGTTTACTTTTTTGGTTTTTTTTTTAAACATTCATTGTTGCACAATTACCTCCTTCCTACCCCTCCCCCTAGTTCTTTTTGCCCTGTCCCTCTTATTCTGGGTGGTGGTGTACATATAATGCCTAATCATATATCCCTTTCAAATAGTTCTTTCCATTCTTAATTCTATTCTCCTCCCAAACCCTCATGTCAGACCCACTTTAAAACAGTGGTGCTATGCAGTATTTGCCCTTTTGTGACTGAAATATTTCACTCAACATAATGTACTGTAGTGTCCACCCATTGTATAATGTTTTATGA